TAAGAAGTCCTATTTGGGCGTTAGAGCTTTGAGCACGTAGGCTGGAAGGGGGTGTGCTTTGGGTCAGCTAGTTAGTTCAGGGTCTTTTATGAACAGACTTTAGGAATTTATACCAACATGCAAATTTAGTATGAACTTTTCACTTCCTAAGTTGTTTCTTTTTTTAAAAAATTAACAGTGCTGGGGATGAAATCCAGGGTCTTGTACACTGCTGAGTGTACAAGTGCTCTACCTTAGCAACACTTTCTGCTGAGCTCCAGCCCCAGCCTTCACCTGTTGAGTATTTCAGCCCCTAGGATGAAGTTGGAGCTTAAGATTGCCGTCCCACTGTGGATCTGCAATACCAGCAGCAGCCTCAATAGTGCGGGCCTTTCTTTCTTCTCCCATGTGGATGACCCTGATGTCCACAAGCTGTATTGGCAAGAGTGTCAGATCAAAGATCAAGAGAAATGGATGGCAGCTCCTGACCTGGGCATTGTGAGTGGTGCTGAACATTGAGTTGTTATAGGCACTAAATGCTTCATGTAGGTTATCTTACTTGCTGTGTAACCTTGGGCCGATAACCGTATCTTTTCCTTTGTTTTGTTTTTCTCCTCTCTTAAATGAGGGTTAGGGGAGGCAATGGAGTAGCATATGTAAGAGTCTTTGAAAAGTGATACCCAGGGATATATGTGTGCCATAGAATCACAAAGAGCCAGGATGATAATCTTCAGGCCTTTGAAGTCTGTATTGCCTTAAGGAGGGATGTTGGCAAAGCTCCGGCTGATGGTGAACTTGATAGCCCAGCTTTGTGAGGGCAGAACATGAGGCCCACAGTGGTAATTTATCTGACACCTGAGATCCGGGTGTCTGTCTCCTGGCATAAATGTGACACCTGCTGTAGGAGGACCAGGCCCTGGCAGCTGGTGCTCTGGGAGGAGAAGCCTGGCCTGGAGCAGGAGGAGTTGCTTACCAGGGAGCAAGTAACAAGTGTCGGTAGTTCAACCGGCACATTCTTTAGCTCCACATGCCCCCAGGGGGGCTAAGCAATGCCAGGTTATCCACAGGCAGGATTAATGCAGAAACAGGGGTGAGGAACATTCAGATACAGGGCCCAGTGCATGACACAGTGTGTGCATGGTGAAAACTGATAGGGCATTGGGGAGGTGTGGTGATGGGGAACCACAAAGCCCACGAAGCAGAAGTGTTTGTATCGCTATACCACCTCCAAGTCCCTGATGCCCTGTCTGCTTATTATCTGTCAGTAAGTACAGTAGAGAGAGTTAGAGTACTACTGGCTCTTTGTAGTTTACACAATTCAAAAGAGGTTGTGAACTCCTGTCTCCTGATTTTCAAATCCCAAACCCCAACTCGGGAATTGTTAGGAAGAAGAATCATATATTGAACACTTTGTGAGTTTGACACACATAATTCAATGCTCACAGCAGTCTTGGGGAAGCAGGTGTTTCTATTCCCACCATTCAGATGAAGAAACTAAGGTTGAAGAGATGCAGTGACTTGCTCTCAACAGTCACAGCTGTAAGTGATGCATACACAGTTAGACCCGTCACTCCACAGCCTTGCTTGTCTTTGTACAGAGGAGCTGAGTCTGTAAAAGAATGTTTCTGTTCTGTAAGCTGCTAAAGATGACACTGGATCATCCTAATCTCAAACATCTCAGAATCATCGAGACACACTTGTGACCTGCAAGTGGGGGCTTGTTTCCTGTCTTTCCCTCAGTGCAACTATCCTTGGCCCCAGAGGGACCCTTCAGTTAAAGAACAGCAGAATTACTCGCTTTTGCCAATGATGGCTCTTCATAACTATAGACCTGACCTTGGTTCTTAGTACAGCAAAGAGGCTGGGGCTTTGCAGCCAACAAGCAGAGTGAGGAGGCCTGTGGACATCAAGAGCATTCTTATTAAAATAGCCTCGCAGCCCAGGGGTGGGCCTGAAAGATGGCTTTGTGGTTAAGAGCACCTGCCATGCCATCATGAGGATCAGAGTTCATGTCCCAGTACCCATGTAATGAGCTAGGCATCCCACACATGCCTGTAACCCCAGCTCAGAGGGGCACAAAAACAGGGAGATTGCTGGGACTTGTTGGTTTCCAGTCTAGCTGAGAAAACATAAGCTCTAGGTTCAAGGAGAGACCCCACCTCAAAAGGAGTAGGAGTAGAGTGATAGAGGACACCCAACACCCCTTCTTCTGGTCTCCAAATATGCATACCACTCACCACCCATGCTCAAATACATTCACATACAGAGACAAGCAAATAAATGAGTAAGTAAATCTTTAAAACAGATGTATATTATTTTTTAAATAAGGTGTATGGGTGTGTGACTCAGTATGTGTCTGTGCATGTGCCCACGGAGGCCAGAAGAGGGTGTCAGCTCCCTTGGAGCTGGAGTTACAAGCACTTATAACTGCCCTACATAGGTGCTAGGAACTGAACTTAGATCCTCTGCAAGAGCAGCAAGTGCTCTTAACTGCTGAGCCAGCTCTCTAGACCCTATTTTTTTTTTTTCTGTCTTTTCAGTTCTTAAAAGGATAATGATCTAGAAATATTTTAGGTTTTTTTTTTTTTTTTTTTTTTGTCTGAGATAGGATCACCCTGTATCCCCAGCTGGCATGGAGCTTGCTATATAGACCAGGATGGCTTGGAACTCACAGAGGTCTGTCTGTCTCTGCCTCCCAAGTGCTATATATATATGAGGGCATTGGATCCCCATGTGGGTGCTGGGAACTAAACCCAGGTCCTCTGCAAAAGCAGCCAGTGTTGTTAACTGCTGAGCCATCTCTAGTCAATATATTTTTATAATTTTTATTTTTATTTTATGTGTATATAAGTGCACTTTTTAAAGGGTGGGAGGTGAGGCTCTTGATTCGAAAAGTGATTACATAAGGATTCTTGTTAAGCTGGCTTGTTTTAGTTTGCTTTCTGTTGCTGTGATAAACACCATGACCAAAAATACTTGGGAAGCAAAGGGTTTATTTGGCTTGTAGGTTACAGCCCGTCATCAAAGGAAGTCAAGGCAAGATCCTGAAGGCAGGAACTGAGACAGAGACCATGGAGGAAAGTGAGGCCACAGGAGAAATCATAAATGGGATGATGGAGGTTGACTCGTGAGGCAGAGGCTGTCTTCTCTAATCTTGGGTGACAACAGATCTGTGGCTTAGAACTCCAAGTTTCTCTTTCCCCATCTGTAAAATGGGAGTGAGCATACTTGACCTAACTCATGAGAGTCTTAAAAGGTTCAAATGAGCCTGGTGTGGTGGCGCACGCCTATAGTCCCAGCACTTGGGAGGCAGAAGCAGGCAGATCTCTGTGAATTCAAGGCCAGCCTGGTCTACATAGTGAGTTCTAGGACAGCTGGGGCTACAGGGAGATGCTGCTTCAAAAAGACAAAAAAAAAAAAAAAAAAAAAAAAAAAAAAAAAAAGTTCAAATGATGCCATGCCTGTGAGATGCTTTGTAAACACAAAGCATAACAACCCTGTAAGAAAACAGCCCTACCCCACCCCCACATTCCAGAATGTGGCTCTGTGCCCACCCCTGCAGCATCAGTACATATCACTCATACATGAGGTGATCTCCATGCTTCTGATTGTGTTCTTGGCTTGTTTATTTTGATTGAAACAGGGTCTTGCTATATAGCCTGGGCTGGCCTTAAATTCAACAGTCCTCCTGCCTCAGGCTCCCTGCTGGGAATTTTGGTGTGTTACAAGTGTGTGCCACCACACCTGGCTGGTTGTGCTCTTTATTTCTTTATTTTGGAGCTGTGTTCTTGCCCCTGCTGGCACTCACATAGGGATCCTGTGACTCGTCTGCTTACTGTCAACTATTGGCTTCCAGAGGTGCATGACTGTCAAAATCCTTTGACATGGATTTTTTTTCTGTGGTGCTGGGGGTTCAAGGTAATTCCTTTTGAGCAGTGCCCATGTCATGCTAGGCATGAACTCTACCACTGAGCTATAGCCCAGCCCCATGAGGGCATCTTCATGAAGCTGCTGGAGGGAAGACAGCAGCCCAGTGAAAATCCCTCTGAGCACTCAACTTAGCCTTGTTACTAATTTGCTCTGTGAGCCTAAGTAAGTCATTTCACCAGCTTAGGCCCCACTTTCCTTATTTGGGGTGAGGACGAGGTGATCTTAAAAACTTGTCCAGCTCTGATGGTTCATGATTCTGCTTTATGGCTGACAGTGCTATGGGCTTCCTTATTCAAAGCTCAACGACCATGGCCAACCCATCTCCTTATAGTCAAGAAGGCTTTGACATCCGGTGACTAACAGACTGGGCTCTGACTCTTCCCACCCTTACCCCTGTAACCCATGGCTCTTTACTTGTGTAGAAATGCTTACTTATACACTGACAGTTTCTTTTCCCTCCCTCCCTCCCTCCCTCCCATCATGACTTGGCTTTTTGCCTCCCCAGGTGTGTGCAAGATAGCCAGTTCCAAAGCAGACATTGGTGGGTCACATACAACCTTCAGATCAGTTCGGGACAAGCTGGTCCTTTAATCTTTTGTCTCTGGCACTTCATAAATTTGCTTGACAAACACCAAGTGCCTGGTTAATGGTGAAAGAGAAGAAAGCCCCCTTACCCCCTCACTGCTCCCCACCACACACAAATGATTCCCTGCTGCTGCCCTGGAAATGGCCTTTGCCAGTCATTTCTTTCCTGGGCTTTGGGGAAGAATCACCCACAGGACAACCAGGTAAGAATCATGTTAGAGTTGTCACAGTATGTGACAATGGCCCATTTCCACCTGACAGAGTCCCTTCCCTGATTTAGGGAAGGCAGTGAATTCTGTTGGGATTTAGCTCCTTTCAGCTCTCTGCCCTATGGACTGTGGCTGTTTGTATCTGCTGCCTGCCTCACCCATTTCATACCTACCCTATGAGGTGATAGGCGATAAAGAAAAGCCGATTACTTCTCTTATCTCCACTCCCCAGTCTTATGGATTTATGGGGTCCTCAAATTAAGTTGACCTTGCTTTTCTCTTCTTTCTCTTCCATAGGGTATGGCAGCTGGGGAGAACTGGCCAAGGCGCTGGCCAGCAGGAACATCCCAGCTGTTAACCCAAATCTCCAGTTCTATCATCCCCAGAGGCTGAGCCTCAAGGTATGTGGCAGGTCCAGTCCATCTTCCATCTTCCCTGCTTCTGCTGGGGCCCTCAGTTGCTCTGCCTCATGGCCTGAAAGGCATTCTTCTTTGTGGTATGGTCAGAGGGGTACAGCTGGTGGAACCTCAATCTAGCTTCTAAGATGTCCTAACTGAGTGGGCAGAAATGTCCACCTTGCCTTCCTCAAAGCCCCTCTTGGATTAGAGGTCTTGTTTCTTGCCTTTGCAACATTGTTCAAACTATCCAAGTCTGAGCTGTTCCAGGCATGGGGCCTCCAATCTCAAATAGCACACCCTGAGTCAAGGGTATGGCTCAGAGATAAAGCCTTTGCCTAGCATGTGTGAGGCCTTGGGTTCCATCCCCATCTACACACATACACACAGCTGTTCTGCATATTAACCAATATGTTCTGGAGACAAGACTATACTTTGATGATAGTACTAGACACTTGCTGCTGAAAGTCAGAGACAGTAAAGCAGACAAATGCCCTTCCCTACAAACAGCTGGGATATAGTTTGTCAAAGAGTATAGTGCTTCTTGGGTGGTAGATTAGGGAACCTGAGGGCCAGTTCAGTCAGGAGCCCCAGACTGAGCCCCAAACAGATATGGATCCCCAAAGCTGAACCAGAATCAAAGTAAACCTATAAACATGTATGGTAGGGAGGTAACTGCTTGGGGTGTCCTTGATTGGGGGGGTTGGCTCCCATTTGTTGGCCAGTGACACATCTGACAGGATTGTGGGGGATTTACAGACCTCAAGGAGGTCTAGATTCAATTTTTTTCTTATATGGAGTGGATTGAAAAACATTCAGGGAAGAAACCTCAGAAGTGCATGTTGACAAGTTTGAGGAGGCATTCTCCTCAGGGATATGGGGTATATAATAAACAAGAGTGTCCCTTAAGTTAACAAGCTTCCTAGGGTCAGGGACTGTGTCTTATGACACTTTACTTTTTCATAGACACCTTCAAGGAGCCCTGAATCCTGTCCTATCTTCAGTTTCTCTTCTTTTTTCTTTTCTTTCTTTCTTTCTTTCTTTTTTTTTTTTTTTTTTTGGTCTTTTTGAGATAGAGTCTTCCTGTAGCCCCAGCTGGCCTGGAACGCCTTATAAAGACCAGGCTGACCTCGGCCTCAAGAGGTCCACCTGCCTCTGCCACCAGAGTGCTAGGATTAAAGGCGTGCACCACTGTGTCTGGCTGTTTCCACTTTCTTTTTTTCTTTTTCGGTCTTTTTGAGACAGGGTCTCCCTGTAGCCCCAGCTGGCCTGGAACTCACTATGTAGACCAGGCTGGCCTTGAACTCACAGAGATCCACCTGCCTCTGCCACCCTAGTGCTGGGATTAAAGGCGTGCGCCACCACGCCAGGCTTCTAGTTTCTTATCTTAATAGTCCCAATTTTATTCTTTGTTTTTCTTTTATAGGACCAAGAAGTTGACCACAGTAGGAGCAGAAACAGTAGCTACCTGAAGTGGAACAAGCCTGTCCCTTGGCTTTCAGAAGTAAAGACTCTCTATTGGCCCTGGTCTTTATTTATTTAATATTTTACTTATTATTTTTATTTTATGTGTATGCATGTATTGCCTGCATGTAGGTAAGTGCACCCATGTCATACAGTGCCTGCAGAGGATAGAAGAAGTTGTCAGATTCCTCTAGACTGGAGTTACGGACAGTTGTTAGCCACCATGTGGGTGCTGGGATTCGAACTTGGGTCTTCAGCAAGAACAACCAGTGTTCTTAACCACTGAGCTATTTCTCTAGCCCCTTGGCCCTGGTCTTTAAGAAGGCTTTTTTAAAAAACAAACAAACAAACAAACAAACAAACATGTCATTCCAGAGCACAGAAAACTCTCTTGAGGTTATTACTGTATTAAAATGTTCACCTCAGGGCTCATTAGATTTTCTCCCTTAAAGAAGGAGCACAAACATTCACTGAAGGTCCTCTGGGTACCAGGCTCTGCATAGCAACTCCTAGTAGCCACTTAAACTGGAAGGCAGTATCATTGTGCTAATTCACCTTTCTGTCACTACAGCAAACACCTGACAATCATAAGGATAAAGATTGACTTTGGCTCATAGTTTTAGAGGTTTCAGTTCATGGAAGCTTAGCCCTGTTGCTTTGGGCCTGGGTAGCATGGCACCTCATGGTGGGAGCAATTGGAGGAGGATATTCACCTCAGGGCAGCTGGGAAGCAAAGAGACGGGGAAGGACCCATGTTCAGTATCTTCTACAACAGCATGCTTCCATTGATCTGTCTCCACTACACTGCATCTCTTTTCTTTCTTTTTTTTAAATTTTATGTATTATTTTTATTTTATGTGTATGAATGTATTGCCTGCATGTATGTAAGTGCACCCATGTTGTGCAATGCCACAGAGGTTAGAAGAGGGTGTCAGATCCCCTAGACTGGAGTTATGGATGGTTGTTAGCCACCATGTGGGTGCTGAGAACAGAACCCTCCAAGAGTAGCCAGTGCTCTTAACTGCTGAGCCATCTCTCCAGCCCCTAGGCTGTACCTCTTAAAAGCTCCACCCCTTTCCAATAGTACCACAGGCTATGGACCTGTGGGCCTCTCCAGGACATTTCAGATTCAAACTGTAATGATTCGTTATTCTCAGATGGGAAAACAACACTTGGGAAAGTTATATGACTTTCATGGCCTTGCCAGTCCCTCACTCTTAAAGATAACAAACTTCCCAGACTCTCTTTATCAGACTACTAAATCTCAATAAATATTCCAGTAAGAAAGGAATCCATTGTTAAATGAGCTTTTTTAAAAACAAACAAAAGTTGGGCATGGTGCCATGCTCCCAGCACTTGGGAGACAGAGGCAGAGCAGCCTCTGTGAGATCAAGTCCACCCTGGTCTACAAAGCAAGTTTCAGGCCAGTGGTGACTATAGGGAGATCCTGTCTCAAAAAGAAAAAATAAAAATAAATAAATAAATAAATAACCAACAAAAACCCCACTGAGCATTATTACTACTATCCTTCTTAAAAATTCTTATTAACATATGAAAGAATCTGAGAAGTTCTGTGGTAATCTGTTTAGCTTGGATTAATTTAGCATATCCCAAATTTATTTGCCCTCTGAATTGCTTTTTCTATGAAATGCCTATTAATATTCTATATTACTAATGTTCTAAAGGAACATACATTAGGAAACTTCTTTAGAAAATGTTTTAGAAACCAGTTATTATAGTACTAAAAATTATAACCAGGTGCAACGACACTTGAGCCCAGGAGTTAAGGGCCAGCCTGGACTACATTGAAAGAGCCTGTTTCTTAACAAAATTCCAGCCATCATGATACCTTTTATTTATGGACATTGATATTCTTTCTTTTAATGGGCATATACCAATTATTTTGAGTAAATGCTTATGCCAAAACTCTGGTGCTTTGGGGATTCATAGCATGTTTAGAACCCAGGATCTTCATCTTGAGGCTTGTGGACATAGATTACTTTTCTTGGCTGGATGGTGTGAGGCAGCCCCTGGTCTTTATCAGCCCTCTTGCAGACAGATTTCTGAAGCCTGGGTGGTTTTATTTCCAGTCCACCCACATGCTCTAGGGCAGGAGTGAAAGAGGCAATGTTAGCTTTTCTACTCTGAGACTGCCTCTTTTTTTTAAAGCCCAGAGAGAGGCTGGATTACAACATTGGCACATCTGTTCTTTGTGACATCATCAAGCAATTGTGCCCCACACACTTGGAGACAGTCCACTGAAAAGATAAGGCTGGAGTTCCCTGAAAGATCAGTTGGTTCAGTAATCTAGCCTTCTCTCTTCTAAGGGAAGCAGGTTCATATTTCTTTTCATTTTGTTCAATTTTTTTGTTGTTATTGTTGTTTGTTTTGAGACAGTTTCATGTGGCCTTGAACTCACTATGTAGCTGAGGATGACCTTGAACTCCTGATTCTTCTGTCTCCCATCTACCAAGTGCTGGGATTGCAGGCATGTGCCACCATTCCCAGACTCTCTTTCTCTCTTTTCCTTTTTTTCCCCTCCATTCCTCTCTCTCTCTCTCCCTCCCCCCCTCATTTTGGAGACAAGCTCTCACAGTGTAGCCCAGGTTGGCCTCAAATTTATGATCCTTTGGCCCAGATCCTGAATGCTGAGATTATAGGCATATACCACCATACCTGGCCTGGGAATTGACTTTTTAAAAGAAATCTTAGTGTGTGTGTGTGTGTATGGCCCTTCAGTGGTAAATGACTGTTTTTTATTTCATTTTTCAAGTATTAAAAGCAGCTTAAATATCCTCAGTCTTCATGGATATTTGGAAAATCCCTGATTCCCTAGGCTAGGGAGATAAGGGATGGCTGCTTCAACCCAGCTTCCCTGTCATCCCCCCCCCCACCCCCCCTGTCATGTGTGTGCTGAGCTCACAGCTGTCAGATCACACTCCTCACTCCTTTTCAGGCAATGTCTGAGAAGCTGACTCCTCACTCAGGTTGCAGAGTTAGTACCAAGTCTTTTCCCAAAGTGAACAAGAACCACATTGACATTTTCTGTTTCTTCACCCCAGGCTTTGGCTGTCTACTGGCCAGAAGTCATCCAAAGATGCAGCACCTTTAGCTGCTGTTCTTTTAGCGTGGCAAAGGGAGGCTGAGCAGATTGGACAGCTGGGGACTGGTTTCATGAAGTAACCGCTCTCAGAAACTTCCATGTCCACCCAAATCACAAGACATTAGCAAACCCCAACGTCACCTGTTTCATCTGTTGGTCAGTACGCCGGTTCACCAGCCAGAACACTCAGTCTGCTGCTTGGGCCAGTCCCCCAAACAAAAAACTTGGTGAATATATGTCAGATCTAAGCAAGTCACAGTGCTTGTGGGTTATTTACACAGCGTTGGTAAGACGGTGTCTCTCGTTTGGGGACAGGAACATGATATAGACTCAGGGTTTTTGTTTTGTTCCCAGTGCTCAATTTGGGGCCCCACACATTGTTTCTGAGTTTTTGTTGCTGTTGTTTTGTCTGTTCATTTGTTTTGGGTTTTTGAGACGTGAAGCCCAGGCTGGCTTAGAGCCTCTATGTAGCTCAGCTTTTTTTTTTTTTTAATTAATTATTTAATAACCACATAATTAGAACAAACATTTATTACAACAGCATTGACATATTCAATAACAATTTCCTGAGCTAATATGCATCTCTTTCAAAATTGGCTGTAAATTTTTAGGTTTACAGTTGAATTATTGCAGTTATACAATATTGTACTCACTATAAACCCTATAAGACATAAAATTAAATGAGGTTTTAACCTTTAAAAAATATCTCCGTTGCATTTTAAAATACGCTATTTTAACTTTTTTTTTCAAAATTGGCTGTACATTTCTAGGTTTGCAGATGAATTATTATGCTTATACAATCTTTTTCACATGATAAACTCTATAAGACATAAAATTAAATGAGGTTTGAATGTTTAAAAAGATCTCCACTTTTTAATAACCACATACTTAGAAGAAGCATTTCATTACAACAGCATTGACATATTCAATAACAATTTCTAGAGCTAAGATGCATCTCTTTCAAAATTGGCTGTAAATTTTTAGGTTCACTGTTGACTTAATACAGTTATACAATATTGAACACAGTATAAGCCCTGTAAGACATAAAATTGGATGAGTTTTTAATGTGGGTTCTAGAAATCAAATTTAGTTCCTCAGGCTTGTGGGATAAGTACTGTTTGTTACCCACCCTGAGCCTTCCCTACCCCCCCCATTAGCCTTTGTTACTGCTTTAAAAAAAAAAAAAAAAAAAAAAAAACAATTTTGGAGACTGGAGATGACCCAGCAGTTAAGAGCACTGGCTGCTCTTGCAGAGGACCTGGGTTCAATTCCCATCACATACATGGCAGCTAAGAACCATCTGTTACCCCAGTTCCAGGGGATCTGATGCCCTATTCTGGCCTCTGCAGGCATTGTGTGCATAGGTGCACTTACATGCAGGCAAAAATACTCATACACATGAAATAAAAATAATAAAACAATTTTGGAGCCAGGCCTGACGGTGCATACCTATAATCCCAGCACTTGGGAGTTTGAGGCAGGTTGATCATTATGGGTTTGAGGATAGCCCAGGCTACAGATTAAGACCTTGTCTCAAAAATAGAACAAAGAAACAACTAAGCCCCAATTTTACTGAGCTATATAATTATAATTCACATTCCATACAGTACATTCATTCAAGTGTACAATTCAGTAACTTTTGGTATATTCACAGAGTTGTATCAAATTTAGGACATTTCATTACCACAAAAACAACAACAAACAACAAAACCCAAAATCCTGCGTCTCGTTGGTGCTGTAGCTCAGTGGTAGAGCACTTGCCTAACATGCTTGAGATCTTAAGTACTGCCAAAAAAGAAAAAATTAGGAAACCAGGGTTGGGGATGTAGTTCAGTTGGTAGAATGCTTGCCTAGCATGTACAAAGCCCGGGGTTCAGATCCCAGCACCCCTACCTAAGTTCAGCGGCACATAGCTGTAATCCCAGCACTTGGGAGGT